ACATGTTTTATATTATAATAAATTATAAAATTAATTGTGATGAAAATATAATAATTATAAAAATGTCAAAAGAAAATGATTATTGTAAAGAAAAGAGGACCGCCGATCGAAATTGGCGGGGGTGGTGGAGGGCCTCGTATTTTTGCAATGCACTTTCAATGTAAACACAGTACCGTGCAATTAGTGATAACATCGGCGTTACATTAGTAATTATTCTATACCCAATATTAAATTTTATTGGGCAATCTTGCTAATACAATCAATCCAATACTAAATAATCATCTAGGTACAATATCAGTAGTATATTTGCATTTATTTTATGACCAATATTGGTGTTATATTGGGGAAATATTGGCCAATTCACTGCCAACATAACCAATGAATGTTTAGCCAATGTTAGCCAATGTACAGCCAATGAATTGTGCTTCTAGGGAGACGCGTATACGCAAAGGCAAGGCCTATGCGATTAAAGTGAAGGTTTAAAAAATATATAAAGTAACTTTTAATGTAACTATTAAATTAGTTACTTCCCGTTACAAGTAACGAGTTACTTCCCAACCCTGGATAATTATAATAGTAACAGTAATGAAATTTGATTAGTTAAAGAATATTGAATTAAGAAATTAAATAATGCAATAAGAAAAATTTTGTTGTAATCTATATGGTTTGCGTATCATATGCAAATTCTTTTTAAAATTAAAATATCAATCGGTGTAATGCATGCTTTTTTCTATTCAGTAATTTAAATGTAGTTAAATATTCAACGGTAGAATCGGGCATCAATTACATTACTCATTTCTAGCTACCTTATTTACATATTTAATGTGCTAATTACTGCTAGTCGGATATACGAGAAATGTGATTAAATACTATGTAATTTAATCGCTTTCTGTAAATGCAATAAATAATACTTTTAATTGTAAGTTATTGACTAAGACGCTCTTTTTTCATGTCACAAAACAGAGATGTTTTGTGTAATAAACATTTTTAATTATTTACATAGAAGAAAATTAAAAGAAAATCATAAATTCGTAACTGTGATTGATATTATTCTGCAGTTTTCATAGCGTGCATTTTACGAGATGTATATCGCGATACATGTCTGGCTTCGAGAACTATAATATTAATCTGCATTACATTGACCTGAGGAGCTAAATATAGAGTGCGAGATTGATAGTGATTTTATGCATGCTAACAACTTTCAAAGTAATATGCAAAACGGTCACAGAGGACAAAAGAAGAGGCAAATTATGCAGTAAAAAAGAATCAACTATCACTTTGCGTTGCAAAACTATGAGATATACAGTTATTATGTGCAATACAATGATGTACAATCGTCTTACTAAATTTTGTCAGAAAATAATTAAATTTCATATATGCACAAACTTACCTCGAAACTAAGAAGTCCGCTGTGATCCTGATCCAAAGTATTAAAAACGTAATGGGCGTACTGGCTTGTATTGGCTACAAAAGAAATTAATATTTCAGTTATTTCTTTACATATTTTATTATAATTTTATGTCTGTTCTTTTGTCTTAACCATTATATATTAATGAAACATTATTAATAATTGAGTTTATATATGAGTACGAATTGCTATAATATTTGAAAAATCTATTAATGAAACTGTATTATTGAAAATATTAAGTGTTTAATTTATGCACAATATTTGCTTATATACAATTATTGCTATTGAACTTTTTGTGATATAGGCTACATATAAATTTTGGTATACGCAAGACACTCTCAGATGAAAAATATAAGCAATTTAAATATAATTTTTAAGACAACAGATTGTATTTTGTGAAAAAGAATTCAGAGAAAAATTTGTGAATAAGCAATATTTGAATTTCTCCATTGGTTCAACTTTATTGAAATCAGAATATTTGTCGATATTGATTTCGTTGGACAACAGAAGTTTACCATTAATATAGAAGCATTTCTGTCAATAGGTATACATATATATGTGATAAACTTGAACGAAAATCTACACAGATCGTCGAATCTGCAGATAACTCGTAAACTGAATATCCATTGGTGTGTGTTAATAACTTCCAGTCGAAATAACGCGAATACCTCAAATCTAAAACGGAGATTTATACAGGTCTCACATACAGAAATTATCACACATATATATATTCTTGCTGTGCCAATTGCACTCCTTTTGCTATTCCCGATAAGATTTATCATATAATGATTCTATATGAAAGGATTAGATAAGATATACTACTTGTCAAAGTAGCGATGTCCTGCCGCCATCGTTCAAGTCCATCATATATGTAGCAATTTTTAAAAAAGTGATGCTAATTGCTAATTAAAAAATCTGTATCTGTTAAAAGTTACGAAGTTGTATTACAAAAAATTTGTATCTCACTTTTCCTAAAATAACAAGCTGTATTGTATAAGTATTATCAATATCATATGAAAAATGAAACTTTTGTCATAACAGCACAAATATTTTTGAGTTAATTAATGCTCTATATTTCAAGAAAATTTCTTTTATTATAATAGTTTTTTAATAAACTCTCTCTCTCTCCCTCTCTCTCTTTCTCTCTCTGATTGTCCAAAAATAATATTCGTAATATAATCAACAATTTGTCACGATAAAGGAATTTGACGTGGTATTGATAGTATTATTATGTAAATAACAGCTTATATTAAAAGTTGTTTTACAATAAAAAGAACGTTTCAGCAGTTGTACATGTCAAATTCTAATTGTCTATTTAAGTAAGAACTTTGGATCTGGATTTATCAAAAGGATTTACTTGAAAATTTGTAATAGTTCCCATTACACTTCAGACATACTGAACTACGTCATCAGGAGCTTATCACGAAAGACCGGGACACAAAGTGTATTAACTCGTCCAAGTTCGGTAACGTTTGCGAACTACGTGCTCGTGGAAAACCTACTTACTCATACGGCAATTCAAAATTCGAAAATCAATTTTCTTCCTTTCGAAGTGCTTACAATTCATAGCTCTAAACTATATTGAAAATAAAATCATGTATGTTGACACGCATAAAAAAAGATATTTAATATATTGCAACAAGCGAGTTTAAGTTACCTAATTTTTTTCTTCATTTGATTCTGTATAATATATTTATGGCTTTCTAAAAGATTAAATCTCTTTTAAACGTATTCTTTATTTCGTTATGATATACGAAATAAAAGTATGTGTACTAAAAATTGAATTGTTCATTAAATATTTTATTTGTATACAACAATATCTATTTTTATACAGATATATAATTAAAATAATTTTGCGTACATATCTCCATGATTATAGAATCTAGTAAGGATTTCCATTGCATATCACACAGTTAAGGAAGATAAGCCGTAGTTGTAATCCGCGCACACAAGCACTATCGGAACGTCCTTGGAGAATTGCGAAGTTGCAATCTTCGGGTGAAGGGTCACGTATTTCACACTTTGAGTCATATATACGTACAAATTCTGCATGCACAGCGTATAAAGCTGTCTTCAATCGCGCGTGCGCGCGCGTGTGTGTGCGTGTACATATACACACATATGAGTAAACGTTGAGCAAACTACAACGTTACCTTTAAGACAATACGTTTTAAAATTTTACATTATCTATATTATCAAGAGAAAATTTTACATATAAGTGGAAAGTACAAGGTGATACAAAATGACAAGACTATATCACTTTTAACATTTTTACGCAATGATATTTTATCGCAATTAGTGTAGTATCATCTCTAGTACTCGTACATGTTAATATTATATTTTACTATAACATCGTATTATAATTTCTATATAGTTATATGTTGTATGATATTTGAAAAAGAGATAGCAAAGTTTTGATGTCATATCAAATCCATTTCTCAGATATCTCAGATATTTCCTCGTGTATACATGTACGTAAACATCTACATTTTTGGATGCATATATAGCAACGCAAATCTGAAGATATAGATAAGAGATGTATTACTTTGAAAATACATCAAGCAAGCGCAGGAAGCAAGCGAATTGCTCTGCTTCTGTTTGAACTAACGAATACGAATCGTGAATCGTTATCTCGGTGGAGTGAGATTTATCGCGATGCCATAATTCACCCATTCGACTTTTGACTGTCGAGGCAGATCTCCGTAATGTTCCTTTATTGCGTCGGCTCCGTATTCGATATCAGAGGTATAAATTTCGCGTGCTGAACTGCACGCGCGAGTTTCGACTACCCTCTTGGGTTTTGCCGGAAGGGTTTTAGATAAGTATAAACATGTCTACCTCCGATAAAAGAAGTGGTCGCTAAAAAGGGTCCTACAGACTATTTATTGCGGTAACTTTCATGACTATTTCTTGAAATGATTCCTCTAAAGAATATCAACTGTAAGACACGCATTATAAATACCCACGAAATAAATAGGAGATTTCTGAAATCTTAATAACTTTTGAGACATGGCGAGTGGATTATTCGTATTTACATTTCTCGTATACGTAATGAAATTCCACAGAATTATTTCGATTTTTCTTCTTTAAAATAAAAGCACATGGTTTACATAGCTTAAAAGTCCCGATAGGCAAACTACCTAAAGTAGCATTACGAATGAGAACTAATTGAAACTTTTAATTTAATGACCATGCTGCTGTTCTCTGCTGTCCTTGCTTGCCTAACTGTTCGATTTATATTTAATTAACAAAGTGCAATAAATAAGCTGGCAAAATGTTCCCTCCGCAACTTAAAAAAAGTGGCAACTTCGATTGTACACTTTGTCCTTTATTTTCGAAGGAAAAATTGCCAAGTACAGAGAATTCGTAATTAACATATTATATTTTCAAAGAAATATTTTGTGTTCTTTCAAAAAAGTTTGGATAATACCCTATTTATCTCTCCTGTCGATACATGGTGCAACGTTTCTCGGTAAAGGGGAACATAAATTGTTGTAAATTGTAAAATAGTAGGGGTTGAAGATAGACGGATGTCTAAACCGTCGTCTATTCGGAGATCTTTTTTCAAGGATTTTGGGCTTGATCGCTCGTAAATTTGCGATCGACCCTCCTTTTACGTCAGGCGGCAAACAAATCATGATATCAATCGACACGGTGCCTGCGGGTAGGAAACCCGATTTTTTGCGACGGCACGAAGCTTTAAACATCTTATACTACTTCGAGCTTTCATAACTTTAAAAAGACTTTATTGTTTCTTCTCCATTTTGCATTTATATTACGGATTACTTTTTAAAGTTATTTTAACTTTTATCAGTAAATGAAGAATATCGGGCTAATAGAGTTGCCATATAACAACAAATCATACGAATAATTAAACAAGCAAAATCGCCAATCGTGAAAGAATCTGTAACGAATTTGGTGGTTGTAATTCTTGATGTCCCCATATATCACGATGAAGTTAATTGATTTTGGTTAAAACGCGGTGCAACGGATGTAATTTCCGAAAATGCGAATTTCATCGCGTTAATGCGTGGTACGCGCGTAGTCATGGATAACCATATCTCTCACGCGGATGGATAAAAGCGAACATTTGAAACGCAGTGCCACTTTGATCTGGGGAGTTCGTTACCATGGCTACTGCAACCGCGTTCAGCGAAGGGCCGCAGTTATCCTGGTTGTTCTCTTTCCCTCTACATGTTGATGCTTTTCGACGCATCCCCGATGCTGCAGTCGCAACGAGGAAATTTAAATGCGAATAAATGCGCGGCGAATAAATAAACCAGACGCTATGTCCATCGTCGTTCTTTTGGCAAAATAAACGTCTTTTTGGTTTCCAGGAAATTCTTCCGCATCGTTAGAGAATATCTTTGTGTTTGTTAAAGACACATGTACTTGGAAAGAATAAAAGGAAACGATTAAGAACGCTATTGTTGTTAATTACGTTTTCTTTTGCGGGATACGTTGAACCATTTATCAGATATTAAACAGTAAAAATGTAGACTACGTAGAAAATATAATTATGTTATCTTTATTAATTGAAAATACGAATATTCTATCGCTTTCTTTCTTTCTCTTTACATTTTTATATTGAGATAATTATAACACAAATGTGCGTATAATTAATATTATATATATTTGTGAGATAATTTTGGTATTCTCGAAATACGACTTTCTACAGTAATCGGAAATACAATATAGGTATGTCAGTTTTGTTAAAATATTTAGCTACATCGCGTTCTATTTGTGTAGCATCTATTTCGTGATACAGTATATTTGCATTTTTTGTAGGAGAAAAATTTGACTGGCGAGAGGCATACCACGTAAAAATATGATATTGTTACTTCCTTTTCTATTAGAGTTTTAAAATGTATGTAATAGCGTAGTTTAATAATCTTTTTATTAATTAAAAAATAGAAGAATAGAACATTACATTTTTAACAGTTTCATAATTTTATATCAGGTATTATTTATTCAATTAGAAATGACTTAGCATTTTTGCATTATTTGATATTTATTACAGTAGAAAAATTATTATATGTAAAATCTGGTCTCACCTCCTTGGGGGAAGAACCGTGAATAGATGTACTTGAAAGTATCCTCCCTGACGACTCCCGTAGGACATTCAGCCTTGAAGCCGCGATATATTCTCTTCAGTTCAGCTTCTGTGAATCTAGTTGCTCGACAAAGGCTTGCTAAGGAGTCCGGCCTGTATCTCGGTATTTGCTCTTCCTCGTATTCCGAGTCTGTGAAATAAACGCAGAACCCGTGTTAATCACAGAAAGGAAATCGGTAAATTCCGTTCATGTATCACGTATCCGTCGGACCGATAGAAAGCTCTAACAAGATTAAAGAACTTTGTTGAAAGCCCAAGACAGAATGCTACGTTTTACTGATTGTGAGATTTTAAAGGCAGATACAAATAGCACGACTATTGATGCGATATTTATAAGATGAAAAAAACATATGCTGTTAAATATGAAGAATCTACACTTCTTTAAAACGCATTATATGAATATGACAATACTTTTCTTTATCTTTAAAATTATTAAAGAATTACTTTTCTCAGTTATTCTTAGAAAACTTTTATTAAAGGAAAACATTTAATCGTTTTTAAAGATTTTTTACATATTATTAGTGCCGATATTGCAAATACATACATATAAGAAATAAAAAAATAGGTATATAAAGTTTCATAATATATACAGAATAAACTGTATATATTTTGTAATTTATTGCTGTCAAGTGAGAGAACTGAGTATGTAAAATTTGTGAAATAACCCTAAACCGACATACTATCTTTTTCACACGTTATTGCTGCACCAGGATCCGATAAAACTTGACATCGTTTTCCTGCTACTATTTCGATTCTTTTTTATCAATGTGCGATACATCAATCGCTGTGGGTGTATAAAGCCTGGATTCGACGACACATTGCAGTCGCGAATAGAAATCTGAGATTGAATTGCAAGATTCAAACTCTCGTGTGATATTGCAATCGTCTGCAGCGTTATATCACACGGAAATTCTGAATCCCGTCATTGACTCTCAGACTCTAGTACTAGTAGAATAAAGTATTTAATTGTTGTTTATTATCTTTTCGTGGTTAAAACAAATATATTTAATTACAATTAGAATTTATATTCTTTTGATGAATACATGATTTTAGAAGTGGATCAAGTTTTAAATATGTTGTGCATACAGCAAATGCAGAATTTATTAGATTTTAGTGTATATATTAAAGTTAAATAACATTTCCTTTATCTATGAGTTTGAGAAATTATTAGTAATAATTCTTCAATATCTAAAATTCGCAAATTTTGTGATATTACGCATTAGAATGTTAGCTAAGATATACCGACAATTGAGCGGATTTTGGTATGTTTGAATTGATGTCTACCAGAATAACGTAATGTGTAGTAGCTCGCGAAATCTAGAACGTACCTACTGCAATTCGTAAAGTTCCATGGTATATGTGAGTGGCGGTGCTGCATTACTGCGCCTTATTTCCCATGGGATAGTCCTTTTTATCCCAGGAAAAGGTCGTCGAACTTTTAAGAAACCTGAATGTAGAATGACCTTCGGTACAGTAAAGCACAGCGTTTATGAGACTGGCACTGGAGCGAGATGCGAGCAACCACGATGTGCTCGACGAGATTTTGTAAAAATTGCTCTTCCTTGTAGTTTGAAAGCCATCTGTCCTATATCTCGTGTGGCTCATGCAATATTTATAAGATTTCATTCAACATCGCGACGTCGCGAGATCAAAGATGAGGTGAATTTTCGAATCGCTTGCCAACCTGACAATCGAAGCAAGCATATGACGGATTTGCGAATTGTATTTCACAGATATTGCTGTCACTGAAAAATTGCGTTAATAATAGAACGTAAAGATTGGTTGAGTATTTATCTTTTATTTTATTAGAAAGAAAATCTAAGTAAAAAAATTTGATACAATTTATGTATCCAGGTATATAAGAAGAAAAAAATATGTATGAATTCCTTGATAAACGAGGACGGTGAATATATGCGCAGGAGAATGGAATAGTGTATGTACATACACATACATATGTTTCTCCTAAAATAATTTAAATTCTAGGAGCATATTTGTACAAGAAAAAATTTTATAAATTATTATTATAAAGACGTACAGTATATAAGTAAATCGTTTATTTAAAAGAAATACAAATTCAAGATAATTACAAGATTTTGCAATATTGTAATTTCCATACTGTCGAAATCAATACAGTATATCAATTTTAGCGAGACTTTTAAAATTAATTTTATATTATCTTCTCAACATAAATGACAAATATACTTGAATAATTAGCGATTCAGTAAAAATATTACCAAGTAATTAAAAGAAAGAAGGATAATAAAAATAATATTTTATAAATAATCAATTGTTAAAACGTATATCTGGAAGAATTAAAAAATTACAGACGGAAAATAATAATTTTATAATATTGTTGAAGAAAACATTGTTAGACTTTTGCGATTGTTGCCTTGTATTTTTAGATGAAAAACGAATTTTCGTTATTTCAACCGTTATAAGCGATCTGAATGAAGTGATTTTGCAATAAATCCCTTCCACATGGTGAAACACTGCCGCGCACAGAAGTGCACAGTGGAAATCGAAACGTATCATGCATACGATACCCCGATACCCTGCTCTCATACAGCATGGGAGATCAGGGCGGGAAGAGAGATATTTTTGCACTACTCCCATGTACATGTAATACATGAAAGATTACGTTATGTTTTCCACGGGAAAAGTTACAGAATTTGGAAGGTGGGAAAGTAATCCAGTGTTGGAATTTAAATCGAATCTTCTTGTTCCGACAGCAGTGGATTTCTCAGATTCGATCTACAGACAAATGTGACGCAGGGAATAAAGGGCAAAAACGAGAGACGCCGAAAATTGGTGCGAAACTCTCTCACGAGAACGATAACAAATGCTTGGGAAGGGACCATCTGGTGTGTATTTGTATTACAACTTCAGTAATTTCGTTGGGAGTTTATGACAGCGTGAAATCAACTAAGAAGAATACGCTTGCGTCATTGTAGAGAATTCTGCAAGTTTCCATTGAATCATTGTTAATGCTTCCAAGTATTTTATCAATCGGAAAACTTTAATTTCTTTGAATTATTATGTGGTTTCATCGCTACAGTTTATTACATCATTTATATTTCATTATTTACCGCGATAAGGACCATACAATACGGTATAAAATACGGTATAACAATAACAATAGCAGTTTTAATCTATCATCAAGAGAGGGCATATTCCCTTTATTGTACGGGGCAATATAGCTATATTATTTTGAATATTGCTTCTGCGCTATTTTCTCTAAAAACAATATATCGAACATCATAGAAAGAAAAAACAATTCGAAATTTAATCTAGACGAGTGTGCTTCCACACTCTTCTGCTTTTTCGTGTCATATACTCTTTAAGCAAAGGGTCGGTTTGACCGAGCGTAAATAGGGTCAACGACGAGGCAACGTTCGACCCTACGTCTTATTCTGGACGATGGTCTAGAGATGAAGACGGAATTGTGGACTTCGATGATTTCTCCACTTTCGAGATATTGGATCTGTGCGAAGGATGAAAGGCATTCCTCGCGGAATGCATCCGTTGCCATCGGATAGGCAGGATGCACATCGGTCTCTGTTTCTTGATGAAAGGCTGGACTATTGGAGTTTCCGTCAATGCGTTCATCGACAAGGATTCCGTAGGAATCTATAATATTATACGCTGGCAAATTGGATGAGAATATTCGGCTGTTTATAAATGATTCCAGGGCGACTGAGATAAATTTTTGTATTTTTCGGCTTTTTCATAAGTCGCGAAAATTTGAGTGATTTAGAAATCACGCGATATAAATGAAATATAAAGAAATTAGCAAATTATGTAACTCCTCAATTATCTCTTAAAAATGTTAACAGAACAGTTTGATGGATTTAAAGAAATATTTTATCTTCCCATTTTATTCTTACACATTGAAACTTGTAGAAAAATGAATAATTGTAGATTATTCCGATATTCAGGCTTTCCAAGTTGAGCGCGATGGGATTTTGCATAATCAGATTAATTTATACGACATCTCGCATAGTCCTGTCTTTTTTAAATAGGTATTGAGAAAGAGATGTGATTACGTTAAACAGAAAAATTCTATTAAATTTGTATGCACATTTTTATTATTAACGTGTATTTGTAATAAGTGACAATTTTGATAAGCAAAGAATTTATTATCCCGGATGTCCGGTTTTTAATTTCAATAAATTAAATAAATTATTATAGATATAAAAAATTTATTTTGACTGTTTTTTTCTCTAATTTTATTGTCATTATTAATATCACTGGTTTCCATTCAAAGCATACATATATCATATATCACACAATAATAATTTATTTCTGTTAATATATACATTTGAATTGGGTCGAATGATTTTAATAAGATTTTCAATGGCTTCCTTTATAATTAATTAACTTTTTCAAGTGATGAATTCACAGTGCTTATTAAGAGTGCTCAGTTAACAACGCGTACGTGACTATTGCCATTTTATATCGCGCACCGTTTTATCATTCCGTTGTTTTCGCGGCAATATATTTTATTCCATTTCATTTAAATGGAACAGCAGTCAAACGAAGCCTCAATTAATACGTGGTTGAATGCAATCTAAATTGTATGCCGTTTAATACTCGACTACAGTTATATCTAAAATATAAATATAGTATTAGCATCATCGCGTTTGTGAATTAAACTATTAACAAAATAAAAGAATATTAGCTTTTACGTTCATCTTTCTAAACTTAGTAAATTAATATTATACAATAAGATAGAGAGAAAATTTGAACCTCTGTGAAGTTGGCACCTCATGTCTCAAAAAATCTTTTTTTTCAGTTCTGAATGCACCCCGAAGAGTTCTAGAGTTCCTTATCAATTTGAAAAATAGTTCTGGCGAATTAATCTAAAAAAGTTGAAACTTGGGGATGCTAACTTCACAAAATGAAATCTCGAAATCAGCGATAACACTAAAAGTATTGGAAATATTTAATTTTGCCATTAGGATTTTCTTTAGAACTCTTGAGGGGCTACCCAGAACTCCCAACAGACCTGCTGGAACTGTTAAAAAATTTCGGGGTACATTCAGAACTGAAAAAAAAGATTTTTTGAGACATGAGGTGCCAACTTCACAGAGGTAAAATATGATGACAAATTTGGGTATTATTGTGATTTCAACAATGCATCTTGATAATGTGAAATAAAATCTTGTAAATAGATTATATTAATATAATACTGATAATTCAGTTATTTAATCGTTGTTGTAATAATAGATGCATGAAATGTAATATGATGTAATATATCTGTAAGATGTAAAATATATCTAATAATTATTGATATTGTTTGCAATGCATTAATGTATATCATAAGCTGCAGTCGAATATAGTTCATTTGGCATGATTGTATTTATTGCAAAAATATATTTAGAATTTTTATATATTTTTGTGCATAAATATATACAAAAATTACTTTTGCATCCAATTATAATTAACTGAAATTATAAAAATCTTTATAAAATAAATACAAATAATATATTCTTTATATTTTTATCCATAACGTTCTTCAAAATATATAAAAACTTTTAAAATTTTTAATTTCGAAGTATATTTGAAAAATAAATTCGAAAAAATAAATGAATTACGTACTGCACATTATATCTTTGTAACATGAACAGATTTGCCTGATGACAAAAATAAATTAAAAATTATTACCTGCTTAATGAATTAACTAAAATTCACAAACACATGTAATATATGTACTGAGCATATTTTTGCAATACTGATCTGATAAAAACGTCATTCTAATAAAGTTATGGTCGAGAGCAACCAGATAACAAATGCAAGGCAAGCGTTTGCAAACGGTATTTCACCGTCCCTCGCACTGATACGTCGCACGGATGACGATGTTGGTTCCAGATATTTCCCTCATAAATTTGTTTGTGAAAATGTAATTTGCGGATGAAACCGCACCTGGACTGTATGAATTTTCATGAAGTTTGCGACCCCGAATCCCCAAGATACGTTGCGTGGATATTCCGTCGGTCTCTAGAGTATTGCGTGATGAAAGTACACCTTTGGCGACTACGGGATACGTGAAACAATAAGTTGACTGTGAAGCTACTCGCCAAGCACGATATATAAATATTCGATGACTTTGAAATTTTAATATTAAATCAGATTAACAATATTTTTATCTCACAATTTGAGTGATAAGTATTTCATCTTTTTGTAGCTGCCAGCGAGTTTTTATATGTTTAAATGAATACTAATTGATGTCATGTGAACGATCAAAAAGACGCCATGACGTCAAAAGTTTTCCCTAAAGTCTAAATTATATAATATATAGTAATTTCGGCATATAACAGTTAACTGTTTATATACGTTACGAAGTTTTATTACTTTATGCTGTTAATAATCATTTATGTTGCGTTATTTTAGAACATATGCATAGAGTTTTGATAAACTGTCATATTTTATTTGGGAAATTACTGAGTATTATGCGAATGTTAAAAATTGATTACAACCTGTTCAGAAAAAATATTCTTTTATACACAAAATTTACATTTACATAACTAATGCTTTAAGATAAGTAATATTATTAAAGCTTATGAAATATCTCACAATTGCGAATCAATGTGATATAAAAATTGTTTTCGATTTCATTGGTAAAAGGCTGTTAACTTATTACAAGTTTGTCGATTGCTGTAATTTATTGGTATCTGAATAAGGTCGATAGGAAAAACAGATATAGTTTAATGAGAAGACAAGTAAACTACGTAGGTGCAAGCATCATGCAACATAGATGACAGTAAAACACGTGAGTAGCGTGCACTGTTGGTTGAAGCGCCAGGAAAACCCTGAGGACCTTCACGTTTCACGAACAAGTATGCGAGTCACTCTTTTACTGGTTGTCGAATAGAAAACAGCACATAAGATACACTGACATCGGTTCATTGAATACATTCAGGTTTATAAAACGTAAAATGTTATTCCCATATGATTTCTCGATCCTTGAATACACGAGAGAATAGAAAAGTCGCTCCATTCAACATAGCATTTTCACATATGCACGTATAGGGTTTTCTCAAATTTATCGCCGTCGGGTATATACGGTTTATATTATAATTTCGAGTGAACGTGAAATTACTATATCTACACAAATAAAATATAGAATTAAAGCATAATTGAACGGATGATTAATTAACTTATCAGACATCTTTTTAATTTGTGTCTTTAATATAGTTATCTCTCTCTTTTATCATATTAAAGACTATACTATTTTAATTTCATCTCAGGAAGAAGTGATACGAGTCATACAAAATATATTAAATGTACAATTTCAGTTTTTTATTTATTCATATATTTTTTAAAGAATTTTTTGAGATAGCAAAATATCAATAAAAAATTGGTTTTTAACATGAGGTATAACAACGACTTCTACATCGATAAATCTGGAATAAACTGTACCTAGGGCGAATTTGACGCCGGTCCAGGCTTGCCTCACGTAGTTGATTAACCTCCTGTAGAGAGGCCTTGGTGGTGGTCTCTTGGTAGAAGTCCCCTCCTCCTCGCATGTGCTATCGTTATCCAGCGTTCTCGGCGGCGGGCCTACGCCCGATAGGGTGCCAGCTTGATTTCTCTTGCCGAGGATGTTCACGACCTCCCGCAGCCCAGGCGCAACGCCCTGCAGTCCTGGTGGTGCGTAATTCGCGGGGGCGACGCCAGAACCGAAGAGGTTCGCGCCGCCCCCGCGGCCTCTGCCGCGTCCACGACTTCCGCGGCTCCAAACGCCACTGCCTTCGAGAGATCACGAAATGATCAGATTGCGATACTTTGACTTATTAGTAGTCCATAGGTACTTTTTATATAAGCGAGAAGCCGAACAACATCAAGATGATTAAATATTCCGTTTTTCCAGATTAAATATTGCCCGCTGATCACCCAGACCTCAAAATAACTCGTGTTTTTAACTGATTCGAATTTCATATTTTATGTCCTGAAGTGTCCTTTTGCAATTTAAATATTTAAGCTGTGTAAATAAAGAGGGCTTGAATTATTTAAAGAAAGATATAAACTCTTGATTTAGAGCCGTACAGTTACGATCTTCGAGCTCGAAGAGTTTATATCGAATGACGAAGGAAGATAGTATTACATCGTAATATATGTATAGATGTTCTCAAGGGTGCCGTTTACTTTAAATATTATATATGACGCGAACATATGCCATGTTTCATACGTAATTAACTGGTATATTGGAGACTTTCCAAATTTTTAAGGATAAATATAAAAAACATTGTTTATAAGAACAACATTATGTTTAAGATGTTTGGAGAGTAATAGATATGGACAAATATTCATTAATTTATCTGAATATTATAGGTGTTTATTTAAATAATTTTTTCAATTTCGAATCTAGTTTGAATAAAAAATACCTAATAACTTTTTAATTAAAAATTACTTAATTGAAAAATAAAAATAGGCATGTGGTAATATTTGTCGCAATAATAGTATAAAGATGTTGCCTTCGCGTCTATTTTTCGACTTTAAACTGCGCGCCGATTAGGGTTGTCGATCGATTTTATAATACTTTTAAATTTAATAATAATAAACTCCATAATTACGTCAAAACATTAAAGAATATTGAATTAATAAATAATATTTATAAAATTAAAATGGATTTCAAATACTTTTGTTTTTGCAATGCAAAATATTGTTTTTCGTATTTATTTGGATTTCTATTCTTCAATTATGATAGAACGCCGCAATACCTTGGCGCTTTTTGTAGGAGGGGAGCCCCACCACGGGGCCGCAACCCCCCGCGCTTCCTGCGACAGAAGAGCTGATGGTGGCAAGGCAGGGGACACCCCGACCGCCACCCGTTCGACGTTCCAAATCACGACGTCTGCAACCTCCTCCGCCTTCACTGCTACCGCCACCCCCGGCGGACAACACCACGACGGACCCAGAGGTACGTTTACGCGGTTCTCTTCCCGCGGAGCCTCTTCCTATCAACGAAGGCCCCGCTCGCTTACGCCGCCGGAACCGCCGCAGACTTCCACGGGGAATTCTGCAAGGCATTTCGTAGGGTCGTCACCCTAGCTCGCGCATCATTTTTTTCTCGTTTTATCAACATAACTCTTGTCCTTTTACGCGCATCAAGTACGTTTTTTTTAAGTAATTTTACTTCTGCTATAATTTTATATGACATACATACATGTATGTATACATATATATAGAGAGAGATTTTGTTATAAATTTATTTAAATATTTATATAAATACGCGAGTCACGTTAGCATGTTTTTACAGAGTAATATATTATACAAATTTTTTGTTCGCTTTTGTGACTCCGCCGCGATCGATTTCTCAATAGAAGCTGTACATATGGACGTGCGATGTCAGCAAATTTTCTTGCTTTTTCTGCGCTTTTCGTATTCCGTCTGCTTCCACCAGAAGCGGACTTTCTGGCCAGATACACCTGCAGCCTCAAAATTCACGTCAAATGGTCGACAATTTACAAGAATGGCAATTTAGAACGGAGGAAGCTTTCTGCACTTTTATCTACTACTATTTTAAAGTATAATTCTTTTTATAGAAAAACCTTTCTGTTTAATAAAGATTTTGAATTACATGTAATTACGAATATTATATTCTTAGTAACTCAAGCCAACGGCACACGATACTATTTTTCCTGCTGGATTGCTTACGAGAACCAATAAGAATGCAGAGTTTTAAATCAGGTGACTTAAAGCTAAATCTTGATTGGCTCTCGTAAGCAATCCAGTAGGAAAAATAGTATCGTGTGCCGTTGGCTTTAGTGTACAGTTGTTGCTTAATGATTATTGATCAATTTGCCAATATCCTGCAAAAATATTATCAAATTCAACAAGTCCGCGCAAGCATATTACATCTAGTTTATATAAGTTTTAATTAAAATCATTTAAATTAAATAGCTCTGTTTGAAGAAAGTTTTTCTATGAAGAGAGTTTTCTACTAAATGCTCACCCTAACACTTTTTCCAGCACTTCATACACGTCAGCTATTTCTTTTAGAAGTGAGAAATTCCAATCAATTCCCACAATAGAATATCCGTGGACTAGATGGTGACCCACGATTTATTTGATAGTTCGACAAATTTATTCATTGAATGATATGCGGGTTTTCCCCGACCTATTCTTTATTGCGCAGAATGCAATAAACCCTTTTCACATTCAGGACTTAGGGCGTTGGCGTGAGGCCCTGGACGAGATCATAATGCTTGTTCTCGAAAGACGTAGTTGGTTAGTGTGTTGTGAGTTCGGTTGTGTTAGTTATCTGAAACAGGCAAAGAAGAAACACATGCAATTAGTTGTGCTTGTGCACGAAATATATGACCGAATGATAACGTATGTGGATTGCGTAAAAAATAGAGATTTAAAAGTATAAAAAAGATGCAATTTTGGAATGTATCTCGGTTGTAATAAAGTCGACACTTATTGTATTAAAGGTAGAAGCGATGAATTTCTGTTTACAGTGCAAAATAAAGATAGTAACAAGCTATTTACTTCAAAGATTAATTTTTACAAACTAATTATTAAAATTTGTTAAGAAAATAATCCTATTGAAAAATATAAACAATTGTTTTTAAGAAATATTTTTTCAAGTAAAAAATAAATTGCCTCTTTCTTTTGCAGTTCTTGTTATGTATATTTGACACGAAATGCTATCACTGATTATAGAGTTATTAAATTAATTTTAAAAATGTATTGTTAAATATAAAAATGACTTTTAAAGTGAAAGTATATGAAAATATGATGTAAAATACGGCAATATACTTTTATTATGTCTAAATAGTAGTACATCTCTATCTTCTTTTACATAAATGGCAATTTTTATCAGGTGCGATAACACTACCGTAACTAACTTTTTAACTTACTGCATTAAATTGAGGTCAGATCGAAGAGAAATTAAGAGCTAATGAGCTCATTTTTCAAGATTTAGTGCGAATTCCATGATGACTGCCTATAAATTCACGTGACAGCGAGTTCCAATTGTCTCGATGGAGATCGGAAAATATATAGAATTCGATGTTGAGCTCTCCCACAATTGCCCCTTTATCTTAACTAAGATCTAACGACTGACTGCACTGTGCCAACAATTAACGAGACCACCAATTTCGAAAATTTACGTCGATGTACTTGTGCACTTTACAGTCGTTACAACCCTACCGCCAAGTTCACAAACACACCACTCAATGTAAGTGAGGGTGATAAAATAGCTACTAGATCGCTCGTAAAGCTACTTGTCCCGCTCAGGCGGAGTTCTTTGAAATTGCTTCGAAACCGAAGAAGTTCCAAGCTATGTGCTTCGTATGCATACGTGAGCTTTCTTGGCGATCAAAGATCTATGTAGAGCGGTGAACGCCATAATTTTTCAGAGAGATTTATCGAAATAAAATATTCTAAAACGAAAACTTTTACCTAAAGATTTATTATTATTCTAAAGAAAACTTAGATATGCATATTTAATTTAAAAAAAAGTGCATGACATTTTGTAAAAGTCTTTTACAATAACTATGGAAAATATTCTAATGTAAATGGCATATTTGTTCATATAAATAATCAAATTTTGCTATGTATTTAAGATAGCAACGTTTGTCGCGCATCATTAATAAAAGTTATTGAAGTTTGGTAGTTCAATCGACTCGAAGTTGATAAAACCGTAATCAATTTCATGTTATTATCAAGTAGTCGGTGGAAACTGTGTTCGGTATTGCCATAACTCTTCGCGATACCGCGAATGAAAGAGAAAAGTGCAAAATGAGAATAAGCTCAACGGCCCAGTATAAAGTTCAAGCAGTTTCGTGAGTTCGAAAATTTTCAAAGAGGGAAGAAGCAACTACGAAGAAAAGAAATGTATCAAAGTCATGCATCCCTTACCTAAAAGTATAACTCATCGCATGATGGCTCGTTGAAAGCAGAGATGGACTTATATCTTTCGGTATATAAAAAAGATTTAGATTGATATTTACATCCGAAAGTTTTACGATTCTACCTAGGTCTCCCTTTGTTATCCGTCGGCTGCATCACAGAGAGGAAATTACGTAACTTATAATAAAATATGAAAACAGATATATCTTTTATGATTTTGACTGAGAAAGTTATACTAGTGGAAATATGGGTTCGTACATATTTCTGATGTAAGAAAAGATAAAATCTTGTATATATATACATATATATGGGAGAGTATATAAGCTCATACAGGTAGGAAATATAATATTTATATCAAAGAAAGATGCGTTGAAACGTAAAACTGGAAAATTTTACGAACAATTTTTATTACCTCTCTTTGAGAGAAGATTAAGTCTACAAATTACAATTTTTTATGCTATCCTATGTAAACAGTAAAAATATTAATTTATTTATATTTAATCTAAATTTAAAAGTGCTCTTTTATTGCACTGCTTAATGTGGTTACAACTTTGCCATTCTATGTGAATAAAGAATTAGGTTACTTCTTTATTTATGTTTATCAAGTTCCACTAATATATGTCAGAATATGATGAGCAATTACTGCGATTACTTCGATGCGGTTCTTTACGGTATTGTGAGTAAGAGCACATGCTTATGTGCTACCTTTACAAGAGGCTGTGACCTTTGAAGTTCATATCGAGTTAATTCAAGGCGCAAGTGTAGTACAGTGACGTAAGACAACGTAAGGCAGGTCTAGGAAGCTCTTGATATCGTTGGACAGTTCAAAGTTATCATGTTCATGTCATGCAACTATAAGGATAACTTGTCTTTTAAAAAAGAATCGTGCGGCTTATCGATTATGATTTTTCTTCTATATTTTATCTTCGATTTAGTCAGAATTGTAAGGCCAGAATAAAATCTAAATTGATAGGAAATCGTGTCATATGTGTACAGTTAACTTGTACATAAATGCTTACATTTTCAAGAATCTTTTTCAAGAACACTAGAAAAATGAAAGAGAATAATAAAAATATGATAAGTGAGAATTCCTTAGAAAAATAAAATAGAGTTCATCCTTATTATTTCAACTGTAATAATAATAATAATAATCACAAATCAGTTAAGATAACAAAATAGATAATGAAATTGGCATCCATTACGATAATGCATTAAAATCAGAACGTAAAGATTTTAGTTTACATTTACTCGAATATTTATGAATAACTAACAGAAATATAATTGGCAAATTCTCACAAAACGTATTACACAGCTGAAAATGTATCTCGCTTTTGATTAAATTATCTTTATGGGCCACGTAGCGTCAACATTCTTTCCGGTGAGCAAACATTCCATCGACTCTGATCTAAAAAGAAGCTCTTCCACTCATCGCAACGTTGTCGTTGTAGACCAGAGTGCCATCCAAAATCTACTTTTATCTCCTGGGGCGACCATCCCTTCACATTACTCCGTTTCCCCTAAGTTACCTCACGACCATCTCGATTGGCCACTTTTCTTTTCTTCCAATTTTCGTCCTGGTTTCTTGGATTCTCCCCGATGTGGATTTTGCTATGAGCGTTCGAGAGATAAACTGAAGGGGGATATTTAAAAAATGAGGAGAAATCAAAAGACAAATGGATCGAAATGCAGACTTTGTAAGTAAATGCAATTTTAAACAATTGTCGATGAGAAATATAACTAAATTAAAAAATGTTAAATTATATATTGCAATAGTTAAACAATATTTTAAAAGAATAATTTAAATCTCAATACCTGTTTGAAGTACATATCTTTTAATTCATTGTAATAAAAATCCTATTTAATATTTATACAGGGTGTACTAAAACCACCGAATATCCTTTTAATCATAAATTTTTTAGAAACTTTCAAGGCAAAAATTCTAATACAAAAATGTTGAGGCTATAATAGATTTTAAATGATAAGCGATTACATTTTCCAAATGACAGGCCTGAGATTTCGCGCGCTCAGGTACGGCGACACGATAAGTGATAAAGATGTTCCTACGAATATCGTTTTTAGCATAGTGACAACTTTCACAACAGACTTAACGATTCATTCCTGAATTAATTGTTCCTCTTGTTATCTTTAACCATTTCTTTTGTTAACTTTGT